AATAATCACAGGAACTGTGTGGCCGAGGGAGAATTGGGGTAGACACTGGGCGAGGCTGCATGGGTGAGCGTATAGGCCTCGCCATGGGAGGCGGCTGTATCTCATATTCACTGTCCGTGCTATCAACATCGGTCAATTGTGTGTAGTCTTTATCAATATCAGAGTCATCAAAGTCGCTTTCCTCACCATCGGAAAATAATTCACTGGTTATTTGCTCTTGGGTGAGTGATTGTGTGGGGCGTGCCCGGGAAGCGTTCAGCCGTGCGCTCGACATGGTGGCTGCTGGGTAACTGAGGCCTCCCAAGCGATAGTAGCCTGAGCTGGATTTTTTTCAAAATGGCGGCTGTTTACTATAGCCCCTGGCCAGCGTATGGGGACTCCCTCTACCCTGCGGGCCTTTCAAATCGTGCGCGGTATGCCCGCGCATCATATGATGCGATGCACAATTTACTGCAAGTCGGGAAAAGCATCATATGATGTGATGCGCAATTGAAGGGTTAATCATTGGAAGAATAAAAAAATGAATCTTACTTATAAATGTTGTAAATGAGCCGAGAAGTTGGGCGATGACGTAAGAGCAAATGCACGCTCAAGCAGCATGCATCCCGGAGGCATCACGCATCGCCTTCAAGCAGCCAGAGTTGCCACAAATTTATTTTTGCGGCATTATTTACAGTGTCTAGGCATATTTTACCACAATTGTTTTCACTCAAATTGTTCAATATAATATCATGATGTTGTATTATAATACAACTTGCGTACATTCAATACATATTGTCATAATTATGCGCGCACACGTGTTTTCTTTTACAACATATATAATGTGTGTTCAGATTTTTCATCATTATATACACGCACTCATTCAATATGTACAGGTTTTTGCACCATTATTGGACATTTACAAGTCCTGGAGACAGTGGTAGTTGTTGAAGCAGTTAACATGACACAATTAAAGGGACGGAACACACTTCACACCATGTTTGTACCAGTCTACGTTTGTGTGGTTTTACAAACAATGCACTCATGCTGGGCTATTGCACGCTTTCCAGATGGTGGCAAATATTTTAGTCTGTGTATTTGAAAGCCCTACTTGTAAGTGAGCCTGGGTGTAGAAGCATGGTGCAATACTGGGTTCTGCATAGGTCTTTGCATGCCAGGAATGTCTTTCTCAAACTTTTTTAGTAACTGTCACAATGGAAAACTAAACACACAGAATATTGGTTTATGACCTGTTTTCACCAGATACATATTGAAACTGTTCAGCATGGTTACATCAACAAGATGAAAAATCATCTTTTTGGTCCACTTCAGTGTTTTTCGTAAACTCGACAGCATCCACCATCATGTCACATTTATCAACCAAATGCATGTTTTGTTATAGTCCATTACACAATCTGGTTTACATATGGGTTGTTTTGTTGTTCTGTTCACCTTTCCACTGTTCACCATTGTATTAACGGTTGTCAACATGTTCACTTCTCTCCTGTCTTTCCACTGCACTGAGAGTATTTGATCAGTTTTTCTTAGCTGACAGTCACCTATTTCAATATTATTGTCAAACACAGGCATTTCCCTTTTTCTTGTTTTTACTGTTCCACACACTCCCGTTCTATTTTCAAGCAAGAACCTAGTTAACAAGGGACTTGTATAATACAGTAGTTATCTGTATATAAAATGTGCCCTATGTTCAGCCATGGTGCCATCAGTGTTTTCACCACACTTCCTGAGAAACCATATTGGTCATTACCAGGAATGTCTACATTGGTAGCAGAATACAGAATCATGTGTAACACAATTCCTGTTTCACAGTCACAGAGAACAAAGAATTTCAATCCAAATCTGTGGCGTTTGGAGGGAATATACTGCTTGAAGGCAACATGTCCTTTGAAAAGCACTAGGGATTTCACCTGTCAATCGTCTGTCAATCTCTGAACTTTCCAATCAGTTCATTCAGAGCATGCCTCACTCTCCAGAGTCTATCATCCTCTGTCTTGTCTTCATTACTTGCAAAATGAAGATACCTGAGGAGTATCTGAAACCTGTCTCGAGACATACATTTCTCGAACAAAGGTGTTGGAATAGTGTGGCATTTGCTCCAATAATCTGAGATGACGTGTTTTACACAATGTCTCATCAACATATATAGTACAAAAATATATACAGTGGTACCTTGCATAACGATTGCCCCAAAAGACGAATATTTTGGGTAACGAACGGCCCGATCGGCGTCAAATTGTCCCATATGACGAACGCTGGTTTGAGTAACGTCAACACCACATGGTGGGGTCGCGCTGCTTCTTGCACATTCTTAGACGCCTCCGACGATGCACATAAAAATATGTTGTTCTTGTTTAAAGATGCTAATGATGCTGGGATATAAAGGGGTGACTGCTGAGATGTTGCAAAGCATTGACGTTTTTGTAGGAAAAAAGAAATGAAATGTCTGATATACAACAAATGTCAAAAAGGTTTGTTCGGTGTTCGGCAGGTAGGCTGCTCCATTATAACAATCTTTGTTTCAAATGTGTTCCATTTGTTTTGTATTTGTCATATACGTCTCAATAATGGAGAAGCCTACCTTACATACACTGAATAAACCATTATGACATTTTCCTTTCTTCAAATGTGTTCAATATTTATTTTTCATTTGTCTTATAGCAAAAGGTTCGTTCGGTGGTCGGCAGGTAGGCTGCTCCATGTTTCTTACATACAAAAATACGTATATAATAAAAAAAATGAAGAATTTTGAAAACCAGTACAAATGTCAAAAAGGTTCGTTCGGTGGTCTACAGGTCGGCTGCTCCATGTTTCTTAAAAAAAAAAAAAAAAAAAAAAAAAAAACGAAAAATAAAAACTGTTGAAACAATTTGAAAAAAGGACAAATGTCATAGAGGTTCGTTCAGTGTTTGTCGGGTAGGCTGCTCCATTATTGAGACGTAAGTGACAAATACAAAACAAATGGAACACATTTGAAACAAAGAAAGATTGTCATAATGGAGCAGCCTACCCAACAAACACTGAACGAACCTTTTGCTATAACGAATATGAAAGACAAGGGCTGCTGGCTGGGTTAGTACTGCGTGAGCAACCATTTGTGGCACATGCGCCTCTGGCTCTCAAACACCTGTCCCACACGGTGTTGAAAGACTGTGCTCAGTCGGTGCAATTCAGACCCTATTGTTTGAAGAACATAAGGGTCATAACATTGGCGAAGCTAGGCGCAATAAGGGCTTAACACAACGGTCGGATGCCAGTGATACAGCACCTATGAGGATGATACAGCGAGCATATCCAGGTGTAGCTCTGAGCTCCACCCTTGCCATCTCTAATGTATATAGATGATACATAGATGAATCGTTTTCTGCGTTCAGTGATGATGCATCTGATACAAGTAGCATAGATGAAGTGTTAGCGGCTTCCATGGTGGTGGTGGTGGTCATTGATATTTTCAAGAATACCTGAATCTCTTCCTGACTGATGGACACTCTTTGAGGCTAGCTGAATCTCTTCCTGTGGGGGACCTTACAAAGCGATCTTTTCAAGACTACCTTACAAATTGAGCTTTTCCTATAATCGTTTCAATACTACTTTATGCTTTACAAGCTTGGCTACATACCACCTACAAGTACTAAAGCCAAGGGTGCACGCGAGTGCGTTATGTGCAAGCACACACAACGAAGAAACAGGAAACGAAAATCTATCTGTAGCTGGTGCAAGGAGAGCAAAGTCGCGCTGTGTACCATGGACTACTTCGTTGACTATTACGCACCTCCAAAGTACTGAGTGTGTAATACAGTGTGTTACTGTGTAAATAGTATGTGAAACTGTACATATTGTAATTTTAGTGAATTTTTACCACGTAATATTGTGACAATAAACATTTATTGTGGACACATTACTGACACATGTATCACAGTTTCATGGAAAATTATGAACATTCTACTGTATACATATTGTAAAGGTCACAAATATGCATCATATACTATAAAAGAAACAAATAAAACCGCATTGGAAATGCATAGAAAAAATATTTGAAAATATATTTGGCAACACGCGGTGCTTGAATGGCCTGCGCGACCGTGTCTGGGAGCTTCACACACGGGCGACCAGCCCCTAATGACGTCACAGCGCACCTTTTCCACGCCCTCACAGCCAAAGTAAGTGGAATTTGGTAATTATTTTTACATAGACATGTTCAGGGATTGTAATTTATCATTTTACAAAGAAAAATTATATTTTGGGGAGCATTTGATGTCATGCACACTGGGGATATTTCACAATAAACACAGTGCATCACACTGGTTACATGGGGGGACACTCGTTTTGTATGACGTCCGTTTCACATGACGAACATGGAACGGATTAAATTCGTTATGCGAGGTACCACTGTATATACATTTCACCTACGTTAGTGTTTTCCCATACTGTAATCGTGAAAAATCTGTTAACTCATGTTCAATGAGATGAGCCGCATAAATGTTCGTTTCCTGAACAATGTGTTCTATGAACGGCTCATCAAAATATGCAGTAAAAAAAGCCCATTTCACACATGTCCTCACTAGTATCAGGAAGGTCTGTAATCCCAACATCTTTTTTTCCATGTTTTTATGTAGGCATATGCACTTATAAACTGCAAATTATTGGTTTCTATACATTGGTAAATTCTATTCATCAATAATTTTGCACATTTTTATTTTATACACAGGTATTCCTTATCTGTATGCACCTGAAACAATTCAGATATGGAAAATACTAGTAAAACAATAATGACCTGAATTTCTCCATTTAGATTTTTTATATTAGAAAAGTGATGGATGATAACTAAATGTTTATATTTGAAGGCTGCATTACTTGCCTTACCTTTAGATGATTTCGGGACTTAGCATCCCCACAGCCTCATCATCAACTAGGACTTTATGATATGCAAAAAATTTAAGGCTTTCATTTAATATGTATGCAATTCCTATCATGTGAGATCTAAATTTGTTATTTGTTGACAGCTCAAGAAAGCAGACTTTGCACATTATGACTACATTTTTGGGATGGACCATGATAACATTTCTGACATCAAATCTCGGGCACCTAAGACGTACACAGCCAGCATTGAACTGTTTGGTTCATATGACCCCAAAAAGGAGCTAATTATCAGAGATCCATATTATGTAAGTTGCTTCTGCTAGTACAGTTTGTTTTTAAATGAGTGTTTTGCACAAAAATGTGCGTTTAGATTGTCATTTTAATAAGGTAAATATAAATAATGGATATAAGATCATGATAATCTACAATTAAACCTTTACCTAAGAATTCTATAAAAGGACATTAATAAATATTTAGTGTTGGTGCAACTTTTCTGGGAAGCCCCTTGGTGGCTCCCTATAGCTATCTTGCAGAGATAGCTCCATACTACAAGTCACATCAGTTGCAGGAGTTCTGTTTAGCCTATTGATGACCAGAGCCAATACCTGGCTTCCTTCTCCAATGGAGGTGCAGAGAGAGAGAGGAGCATTCTCTGCACCTCTGCAGAGAATGTCACCTCCCTCTGCACAGGTGCAGAGGTGACATTCTGGTATTTCACCAGGAAAACATCCAGAAAGTCACCGATGCTTTACAGACAACTGCTGGATTCACAACACTCAAAGCCTTGAAACACACTCAACTGATGTGTCCTAAGACATAGGAGCAATCTCAGTGACATAGCCACCAGTGCTCTGCCAGAAACTCCCAAACAACTCCCCAAATGACTCAAACGAAACAAAATAATTCGCTCAAAACAAGTTGGAACCCATTAGTACTGATGAATGCGACCAGGTGGCCTGAAGTTTGGTCCTCAGCCAGTTCATCATTTAGTTCTGTCACTGATGTGTTGCCTAGGGCATCACATTAGTTTTCCATGGTCGTCATCTCTCACGACAAGTCCCAGTGAGAGTCATTTTCCTGTGTATAGTTCCAATATAGTATTTGTTTATTTTCTGGGGAGAGCTCTGTCGGCTCCCCGGACTATCCAGGCTGATATGCTAATGTCAGACTTTGGCACCAATCATGTATATGGAGTTCTGTGGGCCAACTGGGGACCACGAGCCAGAACCTGGCCCCCCCTCACAGAGACACGAGGAGCAATGGCCTATACAAACCCCCGTGTGGTTGGAAGCAGTCTGTCTGCCATCGACCGGGTTAGGCACCCAGAATGGTAGGCGTCCCAAAACAAACCTCTTTTCTGGTGAAAATTGCTACAAAAAGCCAAACAAGTGGATAAACTCCCCAAACAGAAACAGGTTTGTTTGTTTTGTTTTCCCGAGGTTCTTTCTTGTTGGCGTTGGCCTCTTGGGATCGGGTCGGGGTGCTTCATGCTCTCCTCCGGCGCCAGGGTTTTGGCTCTTTTTGGTTCTCCTGATAGATTTCTTTGCTTGCAGCCGTCTCTTCCTTTTCTGGCGAAGACTGACACAGCTGCTTTCCGGAGGGGTCCTTGTTCCAGGGTGCAGTTCTCCCGGGTCGTCCACGGGGTGGTTTGGTCCTGCCAGCCTGCTATCTTTCCCCATGCCCACGTCGTTCGTAGGTTGGCTGTGCGTTCCTTCGTTGATGTTCCAGGGCCTTGTCGGGCCTGTGTGGCCTTGGGTTGGCAGTTTGTCTTTTGTTTTCGCTTCGCGTTGGGGAGTGTGCGACTTCCACCTCCCGGGTTAGGTCCCTCTTGTTTTCGTCTTTGGGTAGGTAGCTCTGGGGAGCCAACCAGAAAACCAACGTTGAATGTAATGAAACGCCATTTTCTGATTGAGACCCAGAGGCTCCCCGGCAACCCTCCCTCCCTATGATTGGCATTTATTTGATATCTAGCCTCAGAACTGGGGTGTGGATGGCTGGTGCGAGGGTCAGGGGCTCCCCCCTTCCCTCTCCCGGGGAAGGGGGAGCTGCGCAGACAGCGCGGTGACGTGTGACGTCATACTCGTTTGCGCGTTAGTTTGGGGAGTTCTATCCACTTGTTCGGCTTTTTGTAGCAATTTTCACCAGAATAGGGGTTTTGGGACGCTTACCTTTCTGGGTGCCTAACCTGGTCGATGGCAGATATAGAATGCTTCCAATCAATAAAAGGCTGTTAAAAAAGTAGGATGCAACAGGCAGGAGTAAAAGGGAAGGTGCTCCAGTGGATAAGGGAGTACTTAAGCAACAGGAAACGGCGAGTAACGGTGAGGAGGGAGACATCAGAGTGGCGAGATGACACCAGCAGAGTCCCACAGGGCTCAGTACTTGGACCCATCCTGTTTCTAGTACAGTATATGTAAACGATCTTCTGGAGGGTATAGACTCGTTCCTCTCAATGTTTGCTGATGATGCAAAAATTATAAGAATCAAGATGGATGAAGATAGACAGAGACTACAGGATGACCTGGACAAACTGGAGGAATGGTCTAGAAAATGGCTGCTAAATTTCAACTCGGGAAAGTGTAAGGTAATGAAATTAGGGGAAGGGAGCAGGAGGCTGAACACAAAGTATCATCTGGGAAGTGAAATCCTGCAAGAGTCAAATAGAGAGAAAGATCTGGGGGTTGATATCACACCGAACCTGTCCCCAAAGGCACACATCAAAAGAATATCATCAGGGGCATATGCTAGACTGGCCAACATAAGAACTGGCTTTAGAAACTTGTGTAAGGAATTGTTCAGAACCCTGTATACACTTATGTAAGACCAATCCTGAAGTATGCAGCTCCAGCCTGGAGTCCATACCTAGTTAAATACAAGACAAAGTTAAAGAAGATTCAGCGGTATGCCACCAGGCTCGTTCCGGAACTGAGAGGAATGAGCAACGAGGAAAGGCTAAAGGAGCTGAACCTCACATCCCTGGAAAACAGAAGAGTAAGGGGAGACATGATAACCACCTACAAAATTCTCAGGGGAATTGACAGGGTGGACAAAGACAAACTCTACAGCACGGGTGGGACACGAACAAGGGGACACAGGTGGAAACTTAGTACCCAGATGAGCCACAGAGATGTTAGAAAGAATTTTTTCAGTGTCAGAGTAGTTAATAAATGGAATGCACTAGGAAGTGATGTGGTGGAGGCTGACTCCATACACAGTTTCAAATGTAGATATGATAAAGCCCAGTAGGCTGAGAAATCTGTACACCAGTTGATTGACAGTTGAGAGGCGGGACCAAAAAGCCAAAGCTCAACCCCCGCAAGCACAATTAGGTGAGTACAATTAGGTGAGTACCACACGGGGGTTTCTATACGCCATTGCTCCTCGTGCCTCTGTGAGGGGGGGCCAGGTTCTGGCTCGTGGTCCCCGGTTGGCCCACAGAACTCCATACACATGACTGATGCCAAAGTCTGACATTAGCATATCAGCCTGGATAGCTCCGGGGAGCCTCCGGGTCTCACCCAGAAAATGGCGTTCATTATATTCAACGCTGCTTTTTTGGCTATGTATTGTACACGAGTACTGAAGTTTAGTCTCTTGTCTGTGTATAGGCCAAAGAACTCAATTTTTACTATTAATGTTGACATTGTCTATGTGAAGGGGAATTTGGTTTGATGGTTTGCTTTTAAATAAAATGTTGTAGGTCTTTTCTATGTTTTGTGTGAGTTTGTTGATTGTCATCCATGAGTGGACTGTTTAATTCATCATTTACAATATTATTTAGAGTGTGGGTGTTGGGTTTTGAGTAGATGAAAGAATTATCAGCAAATAGTATAAGTTTATGAACACTAGAAACATATGACAAATCATTGATGCACATAAAAAATCGAGATGTCCTAGGGTGCTGCCCTGTGGCACTACAATGGTCAATGTGGTTAATGGTTGAGAGGAAGAGGTTATGTCATTGATGGCTACATATTCCCGGTAGTACAGTCGGGTTCGTTCTCAACACACAATCGAGAATTCCGAGTTTGAATCCTGGGCGGGACAGAAATGGTTTGGCACATTTCCTTTCACCTAATGTGCTGTTCACCTAGCAGTGAGTAGGTACTCAGTAGTTAGTCAGCTTGTTGTTGGGTTGCATCCTGGGTGGGTGTTATAAGTTTATGAGCTGCTATGGGGGATCTAGTATTATGGAAAGGGTCAGCAGTTAGAATCAAGGTGTAATAGGGTAGTGACACAATTAGGCCCGGCCCCCAAGCAACATAGGTTCCTGTTTATACTTTAAGGTATTAGAACAGATCTGTCGTCTGGGATACAATCAACTACATCACTACAACAGGAGTAATGGATACACCTCAAAAAACTAACTTATTTATTAAACCCTCTTAACAACCCCCATATACATTAAATAACAATAACAATAATTACTTTACCACACTATCTTACGTTAAAAGCCTTGGTCCACATAGGCAGGATACAAGGTTTTACAATTAGGACAAGCTAGGGTAAAGTCTACTGGTGAAGAACTTGAAGCTTGAGGCAACTTAGGGTAGTGAGTCCACGTGGTGTACCCTAACACAGCACAACACTTAGGGGTACCCAAAACACTGGAACATAATTACTTAATGTAAAATATGCTAGAATGTTCTACATGATGTTAGCAATGATGTTACTACACAATATCTACACTTATGCCAGAAAACGTACATGCAACTGGTACTTAGCTTTGTAAACTAGACACAGGATAAGGTAAGGGAAGGGAGAAGGAAGAGGAGAATCCAGGCAGAGTCCAACAGGTAGGTCTCTACACCCCACAGCCTGGACAGAGAAGAATGCAGCCAGCGTCCAGTCCAGAGCTCCCGAGTTGTTGTGGTTGCCGGGAAGAGCCTAATTGATCGTGCAGCTTACACACATTACAAATCTTCACCGACGTACAATATTGTTTACTTTACTCGTTCTAAGGATAGTTAATAATTACTTCACTTACACTTAATCCACAACAAGCTCAAGAGTCTGACTGCTCTGTGTGAACAAGATTCGTCTTACGTCTGGCAAGGAAGATAGGACAACCACGCATCAGCAAGCGCATTAAATAATGTAAAGTAAATTATACCGAGCTCAAATTGACCTCTGGTTTCCACTGATGAACCCAGGGTCCTAACACTGGGGGTCAGTAATTTGGCCTTGGGTGGGGGAGGGGACCTCGATAAAAGTCAAACGTTTATGAAATATACTGTAGTCTGGTTTCCTTTTCCCCGACATAGTGATTTGTTATAAATTATTATTTGTATCTTTTATTAAAATA